CCCCAAAACCCCAAAACCCCATTAGCTTAAATCTTGAAAATATATCAATTCATCAATAAATTAAAAATATCATTTTATAATAAGTTCATAGATTTATATAAATATCGCATTCAAATTATTTTCACAGTGTCGAGGCTTTTCTATTAATTACTTTATTGCCTTTTTTGTTTTTGAAATAACTAGAAGGAAAGAACCAAGATCGCTTGGAAACTGAATCCCCAAATCTAGTGTATTCATCTTGGGATTCACTGAATTTAACCATTCTTAAGGTTTTCCTATCAACAGCAAGCAATCCCTTGTTTTGCAATAGAATTTAAATAAGACCAAAAAGCACAATCAGTATAAGAATTGCGAATAAGTAATAGAATACTGAGGGTATATTTAGATAGTTTTTAATTACTCTAAGTGAGAGTACTGCATACTCTTTATCATAATCATTATAAGCTGTCAATCTAAATTTATGGGTAGACTCTATTCCATCAAAAAGATCTTCATTATGGACATAAAACATTGAGTAGGTCCAGGAAAACAGGTAAAAATACAAATCAGTTTGGCATAATAGGCCATAGAACACATAGTTATCGTGTGGCAATTAGTATGTAAAATGTGTCTATGAATACTTGATCGGAAAATTTCTCAACTTGTTGCACTGTAAACCATCTTTTACTACTCTTGTTCCCAGAAATTTACTCTTATCTGCGTTATCAAAGCTAAAATACCTCATTATCTAAATAATTTAAGTCTTATAAATTGAATTGAGATTAGAAATAATTTAAGTTACAAAAGCAAAGCCTCGATTATCTTAGGCTATTAGATTTCCAGTAAATATTTCACCTTCAACATAGTTATAATATCCAACTAAATTAAATCCAAGGTTAGTGGCACTCTCATTCTTAAACTATTCATAATCATAAATTTTCAAGGACATGACCCCAAAAACATCCATAACAAAATAGTAGTTGTCTACATTTTCTTGAATAATAGCAAGCACTTAATAATCTAAAATGCCTATCAATGGTCTGAGATTAATAGACTTCAAGAGCACTTTCCTGAAAATGTCATAGATAAGTATACCATAATTTTTAACACCTATTAACATTATATCATTGCCTTGAATGGTTTAAACACAGGTTATCTTCATTTAATCTAACCCAAACTTTTAAGAATACAATGCATCATTAAAGTTATACGCGTATGTGGTAAAATTAGTATTGTTAAATGTCACATTATTGAACTAAATATTAGACTCCAGTATTTGATTGGGAATATCAAATACTAAGGCAATATAGAAACTATACTCAGATATTTTAAAAATAGCTACTGCTTTAATGTCGATGTAGATTTAGCACTGATTAAATGAATACTTAACATACAGTGTTCCATCAAAAAAGCTGTAGTAAGCACCCTTATCCTAATCATCAGGCAGATCAGTATATATCAGAGAAGCCCCATATTTTAGCGACTCATGATCATATGGGTCAGGCTAGCACTGGTATATCAATATATTATTTTCGTAGTATATGAATCCCATAGGAGTGCAGCCAAGTATATCTTTTGAAACTTATCTCTCGTATATATCAGCTTGTATCTATTTGGTCACAAAAATAAACCCAATTGAGTCTATCAACACAATAAATTCTCCAATATTAAATAGTTCTAATGCCTGATTGGAATTCGATAGAAAATCCATCGGAGATGAGTCATCAACTGTTATGAGGTTTTCAACAATTAATTGATTGGAGACATTCTTAGAATGATCGATTTAATCCATATCGTCCTTGATATAGGACACATAGTACCACATGTTAAACCCTTAGAAGATTTCATTAATGTTAAGCTGGCCATCAAGTTTGTATTTTTCATAGACAATCGGTGATTCCAGCATATATATTGTATAGTTTAGGACCTTACCATTTTGACTTGTGATTAGCAACCCATTATTTTTAATAAAAACTGTCGTCGATAAATTCTGATTTTTATTTGTACTTGGGTAAAGAGTATAATTAAGTTCAAATCCCCCATCAGGATGGTTTTTGCATCTCTCATCCAGAACTATAGCATTGGTGGATGAAATCTTGAATGAATAGATGATCTCAAGATTAGCTTAAAAGGAATAGTTTGAAGTCAGAATAATTAGTCTAAGCAATGATAATGACAAATCAATGTGCTAAATTTGAATAAAATCATTTTCAAAGTCGAATTTTCTGATTATTGTCTCTCTCAAGTAAAGTGTGTTATGTCTATATGTTTGTAGATTGTAGAAATTAAAGACTACACTGTCATCTGAGATATTTCTATACAAAATCAACAGGAACTGTTTATGCACATCATACTAAACTCTTCCTTTTTTGCACCTAATAAATTCATAATTGTCTCTTGCTTCTTGTGGATTCTCATAAGATAGCATGAGCGTGTATTGACTATCAATCTTGTTAATTCCATCCCTTAAAGTGAGTACTGCAATCAAATTTCTGGCAGTAAATACAACTAAGTAATCTTGGAGAAAGTCAAACTGAATTGCATCAGATTCTAGATTTTTTAACTCTTCTTTAAGATTAATTATATTGATTCTTTTCAATAGGTATTTTAGAACAGTATCATCAGTAGGATCAGCATGGATATATTATAGCAATGTGTTGTTGCTGCACAATATCCAGAGCCTTTTATCTAAAGAAACTCGCATATCAAATATTGTAACCTATGGGCTTAAATTTAGTCTAAGTTCTGCAAGAAGAGTGAACTTAAACTCATCTCCATCATTATCTATAGCAAAAGTATAGAAATCTACATCTGTTCCGATCTACTCTGACATCATTACGCCTGTTCATATCAAGGAAGTGTATTTTATTGATACATTTTTAGAAAATTTGAAGTCTTTAATAGGCTCATAAATTTCTCCCAATCTGACTAGTTATACCCACTCTATCTAATTCTACAGTTTAAACACATGCATTTTCATTTAGTTTAGGCCATTTCTATTCTTGTCTGTAAATATAAATCCCCAAAACCCCAAAACCCCATTAGCTTAAATCTTGAAAATATATCAATTCATCAATAAATTAAAAATATCATTTTATAATAAGTTCATAGATTTATATAAATATCGCATTCAAATTATTTTCACAGTGTCGAGGCTTTTCTATTATTTACTTTATTGCCTTTTTTGTTTTTGAAATAACTAGAAGGAAAGAACCAAGATCGCTTGGAAACTGAATCCCCAAATCTAGTGTATTCATCTTGGGATTCACTGAATTTAACCATTCTTAAGGTTTTCCTATCAACAGCAAGCAATCCCTTGTTTTGCAATAGAATTTAAATAAGACCAAAAAGCACAATCAGTATAAGAATTGCGAATAAGTAATAGAATACTGAGGGTATATTTAGATAGTTTTTAATTACTCTAAGTGAGAGTACTGCATACTCTTTATCATAATCATTATACGAAGTCAATCTAAATTTATGAGTAGACTCTATTCCATCAAAAAGATCTTCATTATGGACATAAAACATTGAGTAGGTCCAGGAAAACAGGTAAAAATACAAATCAGTTTGGCATAATAGGCCATAGAACACATAGTTATCGTGTGGCAATTAGTATGTAAAATGTGTCTATGAATACTTAATTGGAAAATTTCTCAACTTGTTGCACTGTAAACCATCTTTTACTACTCTTGTTCCCAGAAATTTACTCTTATCTGCGTTATCAAAGCTAAAATACCTCATTATCTAAATAATTTAAGTCTTATAAATTGAATTGAGATTAGAAATAATTTAAGTTACAAAAGCAAAGCCTCGATTATCTTAGGCTATTAGATTTCCAGTAAATATTTCACCTTCAACATAGTTATAATATCCAACTAAATTAAATCCAAGGTTAGTGGCACTCTCATTCTTAAACTATTCATAATCATAAATTTTCAAGGACATGACCCCAAAAACATCCATAACAAAATAGTAGTTGTCTACATTTTCTTGAATAATAGCAAGCACTTAATAATCTTAAATGCCTATCAATGGTCTGAGATTAATAGACTTCAAGAGCACTTTCCTGAAAATGTCATAGATAAGTATACCATAATTTTTAACACCTATTAACATTATATCATTGCCTTGAATGGTTTAAACACAGGTTATCTTCATTTAATCTAACCCAAACTTTTAAGAATACAATGCATCATTAAAGTTATACGCGTATGTGGTAAAATTAGTATTGTTAAATGTCACATTATTGAACTAAATATTAGACTCCAGTATTTGATTGGGGATATCAAATACTAAGGCAATATAGTAACTATACTCAGAGATTTTAAAAATAGCTACTGCTTTAATGTCGATGTAGATTTAGCACTGATTAAATGAATACTTAACATACAGTGCTCCATCAAAAAAGCTGTAGTAAGCACCCTTATCCTAATCATCAGGCAGATCAGTATATATCAGAGAAGCCCCATATTTTAGCGACTCATGATCATATGGGTCAGGCTAGCACTGGTATATCAATATATTATTTTCGTAGTATATGAATCCCATAGGAGTGCAGCCAAGTATATCTTTTGAAACTTATCTCTCGTATATATCAGCTTATATCTATTTGGTCACAAAAATAAACCCAATTGAGTCTATCAACACAATAAATTCTCCAATATTAAATAGTTCTAATGCCTGATTGGAATTCGATAGAAAATCCATCGGAGATGAGTCATCAACTGTTATGAGGTTTTCAACAATTAATTGATTGGAGACATTCTTAGAATGATCGATTTAATCCATATCGTCCTTGATATAGGACACATAGTACCACATGTTAAACCCTTAGAAGATTTCATTAATGTTAAGCTGGCCATCAAGTTTGTATTTTTCATAGACAATCGGTGATTCCAGCATATATATTGTATAGTTTAGGACCTTACCATTTTGACTTGTGATTAGCAACCCATTATTTTTAATAAAAACTGTCGTCGATAAATTCTGATTTTTATTTGTACTTGGGTAAAGAGTATAATTAAGTTCAAATCCCCCATCAGGATGGTTTTTGCATCTCTCATCCAGAACTATAGCATTGGTGGATGAAATCTTGAATGAATAGATGATCTCAAGATTAGCTTAAAAGGAATAGTTTGAAGTCAGAATAATTAGTCTAAGCAATGATAATGACAAATCAATGTGCTAAATTTGAATAAAATCATTTTCAAAGTCGAATTTTCTGATTATTGTCTCTCTCAAGTAAAGTGTGTTATGTCTATATGTTTGTAGATTGTAGAAATTAAAGACTACACTGTCATCTGAGATATTTCTATACAAAATCAACAAGAACTGTTTATGCACATCATACTAAATTCTTCCTTTTTTGCACCTAATAAATTCATAATTTTCTCTTGCATCTTGTGGATTTTCATAAGATAGCATAAGTGTGTATTGACTATCAATCTTGTTAATTCCATCTCTCAAAGTGAGAACTGCAATCAAATTTCTGGCAGTAAATACAACTAAGTAATCTTGGAGGAAGTCAAACTGAATTGCGTCTGATTCTAGATTTTTTAACTCATCTTTAAGATTAATTATATTGATTCTTTTCAATTGGTATTTAAGAACAGTATCATCAGTAGGGTCAGCATGGATATATTATAGCAATGTGTTGTTACTGCACAATATCCAGAGTTTTGCATCTAACGAAACTCGCATATCAAATATTGTGACCTATGGACTTAAATTTAGTCTAAGCTCTGCAAGAAGAGTGAACTTAAACTCATCACCATTATTATCTATAGTGAAAGTATAGAAATCTACATCTGTTCCGATCTACTCTGACATCATTACGCCTGCTTATATCTTGGATGTGTATTTAATTGATACATTTTTAGAAAATTTGAAGTCTTTAATAGGCTCATACATGTCTCCCAATCTGACTAGTTATACCCACTCTATCTAATTCTACAGTTTAAAAACATGCATTTTCATTTAGTTTAAACCATTTCTATTCTTGTCAGTAAATATAAATACATTCGATTTTTAGTAGTCTAATATAAATGCTGCAATTTACAGATCAGGTAATTAGAACTTTACTATATTGTTTTCAAATGTATGAGCATTATCTTAGTATAAATCTAAAGTGGACAAAGTAAAATTACTTTAGCTTAAGCATAATACTTAATAATAAGGCTAATTTTTTGTCTCAAAAATGGCTACTATGTTTTATTCGCAATCTTTGAAATTCTATTTAAAGGTTGCATTAATTGACAATGATGGTATCTTTGTATGAAAATAAACAGGCTCTGAACCCTCTGGATAAGAGCTAATAAGCATGTCTTCAAAGGGACCACTAAATAGGTAGTCAATTTACTCGATAAGGAAACTATCTTCTATTACTGTCCCATTATCATAATATTTAAAGTTATCATTAAACATTCCACAGTCATAGAAAAATATGACTTATTATGAAAATAGTGTCTCATTAGCTCTAAAAGAAGTTTAAAGAGTTACAGTATCAACAGAGTCATAAGGTAAAACTAACACTTCAATTATTCTTGAAAGTTAATCATTTTTGTAATTAGTTACATTTAATCTAAGAGGAATAATCCTATCATAAATATCTAAATTACTCATCAATTCAATGTTCATAGTGTTTACAATATATTGGGAAGGTGAAATTTGATATATGGCAAAATAAGTTGATGTCCTTATAAAAAAATGATTATAACTTAAGGACTATACGAATATGTCATTGAAGAATGAATCAGACAATTGATATTATAAGAATCCAACTGAACTTTATGTATCCTATCTATCGAATACTCTCAAAGCTGGCTAGAAATCATTTAGCCTCATTATAGCAACTAATATATATCTATCCCCAACATCTAAAATATTTAGACCTATGTATACATCGAGATCAGTCTAAATTGAGAACAATTATCCAAAGTAGGGACTGAAGGTGTCTTTTATAATTATTTCTCTTATTATTGGAGGCTGAACAATTGCTACGAAGACACTTAGGTCATCTTTTGATAACTTATTCCCTGGTAGATCAAGTTTGCCGAGATTTTAATATTCTATAACCGATCTAGCATTGGCAGAGCACTAGAGGGGCTCAGTATAGCAAGAAAAATCTAAAATAAAAAAGCCGTATTTAGCATCTGTCATCATTATGTAACCATCATCATCATCAGTAAGATCATTGACGTAGATGATGTCTTAAATTTAGAGATTAGTAAATAATTAAGCTATATAGATAACCCCTTAGTCCTCGGCAGGTATAAAAAACTAATCCAACTTCCCATAATCATATATTTTATCAATATTATGATCTAACTCAAATATCCTCATGTAGCTACTTGACTTATTAGTTAGTAATATAAAACAGGTTAAATATTTATTCCCTTATAAGCCATTATAATTGAACTATATGATACGACCTCTTTAAAAATCGTCATAGTCGACTGGAATTTTATAATACTTTACTTTTTTGAAAATATATTTATTGATATCTTAGAAACTCAAGAGCAGCATTATTGTCTTTCCAGGATTTACTGAGAGACAGAAAAGCACCATAGTGAACTTATCAATTTATTTGAGATTTGAGCACATTTTTAATGAAGATATTTGATTAGGATCAAATAAAGAAATGCTAAAAGCCATCTAGTCACCAACTTTTTCCTTTAAATAGCCAGAAATATCGTAACCAACAAGTTGTAATTTCTCATCTAAATAAAGAAAGAGAATAGTGTCATCAAATCCATTATTTTCGTATTAGTACAAGCATTAAGCTATAAACTACCCTGGAGCTTACTCGGTCTGCTAGTAGTCAATTCGCTTCTTGAGAATTAAAGGTTCTTGATATGATATTATTTCATTATCTAGAAGTTTCTTTCCATCTTCATAAGAATCATTGTCACTGCTATCAGCCATTAACTGATACTAGAGGAAGTGGCCCCTGAAATAATCATCAATATGTATTCTATAAAGTTAATTAGGCTGCATAACTAATCAGCTAAATCCCTTCATCTATCCAAAGCTATCCTCAATCGTGAGATCTGAAGCATACTGTTAGCATTTTATGACATGGATAATTAGAGCAAGAATCAAAGTAAATCTTAAGATTTTGTTTGAAAATTAATGTGTAATGTAGAAATTTCTCATTTTAGATTTACCTAATTTATAAATATTATAATTTGCTTTAATGTAAAAACTAAAATCTATTTATTTTAGAAAGTATTGCTTATTTAATTTATTAATCAAATTTGAGTGAACTTTAATTTTATGGGGTTTTGGGGTTTTGGGGTT